CCAAATTCGCGCAAAATGGAGTTAGAACCAACCAGAACAATCAGAACTCCATTTTGCGCGAATTTTGGAACGTCAACTCGAAATGCAAAAATTTGTCACCAAGAGGAATCGAACTAGGGACCCCTTTTCTGGTATTCAGAGGGCCGTTCAGGAAAAATTGAACATGGTTCTGTGGTTCCCGCATCTGCCCCTATATCATGCAAAAGACCGTTTTCAAAAAGCTTGTCACGCCCTGAAAGACCTTCCTGGTCAGCCCTGGCCACCCACGTGCTATTCACGTGCGCGGTGCGTGATGACTTTCCCACGCACTTTCGACACGCATAGCGGTGTATCGATCGGGCTGCCCGCCAGCTACCGAGAAAGGCCATCGGCTGTCACGTGAGCTCTCACGCACCGCGCACGTGAATAGCACGTGGGTGGCCAGGGCTGAGGAAGGCGATCGGCGATAAGGAAAAGGCCGAAAACGGTGAAAAACGAAAGTTTCAAGTGGGAACTGAGATGTATATCGTTCGATAGCATTTTGCATGGAGAATCGAAATGGTGTACACCACAGCTCCGTAGAGCCACCTGGAAGACCAAAAAATCTGGTTTTTATTTCAGGGCATGACGGAGAGCGATGTTTGAGGCCACACCAGGGAAGAAACACTCGCTCAAGCCCGAGTGTATCATCTTTTTCCAACATGCAAGTAAACTTACTCTACGATAGGGAAGAGAGTTCGTCCCTCCCTTCTCGAATTTCCTCAAAACATCCCTTCGAAAATTGCGAAATGTCACAAAATGGATCTAGTGGCAGGTAAACTAGATGTTCTCCAGAAAGTGAGTTGTATACCGTTCGACAGTATTTGTTTATGGGGAATTGAATGGTGCACATCTCAGTCTTCTATGTTCATCTGGAGAACCAAAAAAAATCTGATCATATCGCAAGGGCATGACGAGGTGTGATGTTTGGGGTCGCACTACGGAAGGAAGACTCACCTGCCACCAAGGTTTCTATGTAATTCCTACAGACAAGTGACCGTAGTCTACGACAGTAAGGAAATTCGTCGCTGCCTTCACAGCTTTCTACATAACATCTGCTCTAAACATGGAACATGTCGCAAAAAATGGGGCGAGGTGTGATGTTTGGGGCCACACTACGAGAATGAATGTCATATTCGTAATCAGGGCATCGAATTACCCCAATAGGCAAAGTTTCGACGAAAAATGAAACTTTGAGATTTTGGGGCAGTAATAGTGGAATAATGATGCGGGCAATAGGGGAAGGCTGAAAACGGTGAAAAACCAAAGTTTCAACTGGGGAGTAATGCATATCATTCGATAGCATTTTTCACGGGGAATCCAATGGGGCACATCTCAGGTCTGCGAGTTCATCTGGAAATGCAAAAAATCTGATTTTTATTTTAGGGCATGACGGAGAGTGATGTTTGGGGCCACACCACGGAAGGAAAGCTTACCCGTGACCAAATATTCTACCTCTTTCCTACAGACAAGTGACCGGAGTCCACGTCGGTGGAGAGAATTTCTCGCTAAATCGCACGTGGCGCCAAGGGCTGGGAGGACGATCGGCAATGGGGAGCAAAAAAGTGAGAAAAACAAAGTTTTGTGTGAAACCTGAGTTGTACACCATTCGGTAGTATTTTTCATGGGAAATCGAACGGTGCACCCCTCAGCTCTGTAGAGTCATCTGGAAGAGCAAAAAATCTGATTTTCATTTTAGGGCATGACGGAGAGTGATGTTTGGGGCCACACCACGGACGGAGCGCTTACCCGTGACCAAATATTCTACATCAATCTTACAGAGAAGTAACTGGAGTCTACGTCTGTGGAGAGATTCCTGGCTATCTTCTCAGGTTTCCGCAAATCATCTCCTCTAAATGTGGGGAATGTCACATAATAGGTCTACTACTACTGCTGGAAACTGTTCGAAGATTCTCATTTGGAGTGGAAGAATGGGTTGATCAGCGCACGGTTAGCCAATTAGCGCTCTAGAACGAATTAAAGATCGTGAAATTCGAAAAAAAACATTCATTCAATCTCACCATATGGTGGACCGGTTGGGTACGTGGCGTATTCTGAGGGTGTTGAGATCCATGTTTCTGTGGGATGATCAGGCTGCATAGGAGGACTTATATGCGCATCACATACAAAGTATATTCATTACTTCTCGGGATGGAGGTCGAGTGCATGGCGCAATCCTAGATGGAGCTCTTTCAGAAATTGAATTTAACCATCTTGTAGATCTCGAGCAGAGCTATCAGATGGTATAAACTGCAGGTCGAGCGAACCATTTTTTAAAGAGTTATGGCGAGCCGACGGTTTGCGACGGTTTCCGACCGTCGCAAACCGTCGATTGTGTATGCTACCCATTATCAAAACAAAATGGTCTAAACTATCGCATAACACTCGTTGCATTTTCACCTTTATTGTTAACTCTGAAGGTTTGAAAGAAAGGTTTGGCTTCACCATTTAAATTGTGGTGGTAAGGTGGAATGAATATCAATTCGACATTCCTCCTCCGACAGTAATCCCGGAAATCTTTAGCTACGAGTTGTGGTCCATTATCGGCCACAATTTGCTCTGGTAGTCCGTGTATGCTGAAAATATCTTTATTTCAATCCTCGCTTCCTCGTTGATTTCATCGCAATACTTTAGCCACTTCGACTTTGCGTTACCATCCAGCCGCCCCTTCCATCTGTTTAGGCCAAAGCCATATGGCCAATTTAGCAGAGTTTTGGCTGGCACTTTCCCTACGATGTCATGGCCACATATACTCATTTCGTTAGTAATATTAATAATGTATAGTATTCTATATAATATAACTTCGTATAGCATACATTATACGAAGTTATACGAGCTCCGTTTTGCGCTTTAAAGCTTCAACTCCCTCTTCAACATTTTGCGGCCATCTCTCCATAATGTATTTGTTAGGCTTTCCGCAAGGTCTCGTCCTCTTGCGTTTCCTTGGCCACTTGCTCTTTATTTAATATCATGTCCTCCCACGTCTCCGTGGTCATTTTTCTTCCACTCACTTCATTAATTACCATTTGTGGCTCGGCAGCTCTCCAGGGTCTGGTGGCCTGGATAGTCCGCCCGCATTTCCGAAATTGGCTGTTTTTCTATACTCAATATCAAAAGAGTATATCATCAGACGAAGGCTCCAACGATGTAGTCGCTTCGCCGCGATCGTGGGGATTCCGTTTTTAGGCCCAAAAATCTTTACTAACGGTTGGTGATCCGTTAGTAATGTGAACTTGCGACCATACAGGAACTGGGTTAATTTTGCCACTCCATACACTATCCCAAGAGCTTCCTTTTCAATTTGGGAATAGTTTTTCTCTTCCTTCGTCAACGTCTGTGAAGCGTATGCTATTACTTTCTTTCCATCCGGCATCTTGTGGTACACCACTGCCCCTAGCCCATACTCCGAAGCATCTGTTGCCAACACTACCGGTATCTAGGGGTCATAATAGTCAAAACATCGGCCTCGGTCTACCGCTCCTTGATATTTTGAAACGCATTTCTCTGTGATTCTTTCCCAGCGGAAAGGCACTCCTTTCTTTCGCAACCCATTCAAAGGGGCTGCTATGTCGACAAGTTTAGGAATGAATTTACCGTAATACTGCACCATCCCTATAAATGATTCTACCTCCTTCAATTTTTTGGTTCTGGCATGTTAATCATTGCCTGCACCTTTTTTTGGTGAGGGTCTTATACCATTCTCATCTACGATATGCCCAGAAACTCCATTTGTTCTTTCATAAATTCACACTTTTCAGGTTACAGCCTAAATCTAGCTTCTCTCAATCTTTTCAGTACTTCTTGCAACCTTGCTAGATGCGTAGCATCATCTGGAGCCGTCACCGTAATATCATCGAGGTATATAATTACTCCCTCTATTCCCGCCAACGTGGTTTCCATGATTCTCTGGAAAATCGCTGGAATAGAGGCTATGCCGAATGGTACTCTATTATATACAAACATTCCTTTATGTGTATTAATTGTAGTATATTTTTTAGACTCTGGTTCCAACTCCAGCTGCATATACGCATCTGATAAATCCATTTTCGAAAACTTTTGCCCTCCATTCAACATGTGAAACAAGTCATCTGGTTTAGGCAGTGGATATTGGTTAATATCCAATTGTGGGTTACCGTCACTTTATAGTCTCCACACCACCTTACGTACGTACGCCCCTGGGCTGCGGCCCCGATATACATCGTAGGCCGCGGCCGGATCTTGTCCAGCCGGCGAGACTTCTCGCACCCCGACTGGCCTGGTGGAGGCGCTACTTACAATACCGCCTTTGTTGTCGTTCATCCAGCTCCTCGCAGTTGATCAGGCTGCTCCGGCTGTAGTTGAACGACCTCCACAAATGGATCCAAGTCCTGTCTCCACTGGCTCCTCAGCTACGTAGCGTCCTGCGTGATCTTCGTCTCCCTGATCGCCAGTTGGTCGGCGATAGAGACAACGGTGAATGAACGTTTATTGCTCATCACTTCCTCTTTTATAGAGCTCTTATCA